GGGGTCAGTTGAAGCAATACTTTGCCCAGTACGGTACCGTCACCGGCTGCTGCATTGCGCGGGACTACAAAACAAAAGAGTCGAGGGGCTTTGGCTTCGTGACCTTCCGAGAGGAAGCGCACGCCGCTCGTGCACTGGCTGGCTGCCCGCACTTTATCGAGGGTGGCCCCATCAGTGTGAGACCCTCTATTTTGAAGGCGAAAAAGGAGAAAACGATGCCTGTCTCCTCCTCTGCCAAGTATGCTAGTCTTTTATCTGAATTGCGGACTTGAAGTGTCTCTTCTCTGAGTCATTTTTTTGGTCTATTGGTTTTATTTTTCTGTCGCTGCTTCTTTGCCCTTTGTATGTCCGAAAACTTTGGACTAACCCGTTTGGATTAAATGACAAAGACACAGAGATAAGAAAAAAGTTTTAGAAATAAATTTAAACACATATAGTAAGACCTCTCTGTCCCCAGTATGCTGGGGATATTTGTAGTTCAAATGAGTTGGTTGTGAGTTAAGCAAATGGCCATACCATTTGACTGAGATGAGGCAGAGAACTCGAATAAATAGTAGAGGAGGAGACGGGAGTTGAAAGAAGAGGGGAACTTAGATTGTAATGTTAATTTCTCTGGGCTCCTGGTAGAGTGTTTGCTGTGTTAGAAGAGTTTTGAATGTGGTCTGGCTATTGAAGGAGAATCCGTATCTCAACAATGTGATGGATATTGTGCCGTGATGCGTGAGTGAAGAGATATGAGGCACAAAGCCTGAAACAGGCAAGGCGGTAAAGCCCTTTTGTCTTCCTCTGTGTGCAATGGTAATGTACTTTCTTTAGGAAAGTGAAGGAGGTAGGGAACAAAAGCGAAGAAAGCAGTACAGGTGAGAGACAAAAAAGTTAATAAATTGCGCCCACACATTGGTAATTTGAAATCTTCGACTCCGCAACAGAGTTTGTGCAACTACTTCTCTCAGTGTGGAACAGTTACAAGTGTGGAGGCGGTTCCAGGTCGTGGTTGTAGGAGGTCGTAAGGTATTGCCTTTGGTGAACATGAGCACACTGCGGGCGGTGGAGGCTGTTCTCGAGGCATATCCAAATCAGCTTAGCGGAGGAAAGCATTATCGTGCTACCTGCACATCTGCTAGCTTTGAGATGGGTTA